AGGTGTTGGGGACCGGGGAATTGGAAGTTCTGGAGGAGGTGGAGGGCATGGGTGGTGTCACGGATGTAGGTAGGGAGTTCCTGGACCAAGGGGGAGAAAATGGAGTCAAGATAGGTGGAGCTAAGTTCGGTGGGGCAGGAGCAGGTGGAGACAATGGGTCGACCAGGGCAGTCAGGTTTGTGGATTTTGGGAAGGAGATAGAAACGGGCGGTACGGGGTTGGGGAACGATGAGGTTGGAGGCCGTGGATGGGAGGTCACCTGAGGTGATGAGGTTGTGGATGGTTTGGGAGATGATGGTTTGGTGCTCAGGGGTGGGTTCATGATCAAGAGGGCGGTAGGAGGAGGTGTTAGAGAGCTGGCGTCTGGCCTCGGCGATGTAGAGGTCATTGCGCCATACTACAACTGCGCCTCCCTTGTCCACGGGTTTTATGGTGAGGTTGGGATTGGAGCGGAGGGAGCGGAGGGCTGCACGTTCTGCGGGGGAGAGGTTGGAGTGGGTGAGAGGGGTGGAGAGGTTGAGGCGATTGATGTCTCGACGGCAGTTGGAGATGAAGAGGTCAAGGGAGGGTAGGAGGCCTTGGGGTGGTGTTCAGGAGGACGGGGTGTGTTGGAGACGGGAGAAGGGGTCAGTAGAGGGAGGGTTAGGTTCACAGTTGAAGAAGTAAGCGCGGAGGCGGAGGTGGTGGAAAAACGTGACCGATATTCGTTGATGTGTGAGTGGAGGGGGACAAAGGTGAGCCCTTTACTGAGGACTGACCGTTCGTCCTTAGTGAGGGGGAGGTCTGGGGGGATGGTGAAGACTCGGCAGGGCTGGGTGCTGCTATCTCCTCTGGAGCTGCTGGCTGTGGAGGCTGTGGGCGGAGCAACGTTGGCGTTGGCTGTGGGCGGAGTTGCGTCGGCATAGGCTGTGGGCGGAGTTGCGCTGGTGTCAGCAGTGGGCGGAGTTGCGTCAGTGTCAGCGGTGGGCAGGGTTGCGTCGGCGTCGATGATGGGCGGAGCGGCATTGGCGGTGGGCAGAGCGGGGTAGGCGGCGGCAGCAGTCGTGACAGTAGGTGCGTCTTCAGTATCTGTGGTGTTGGCCTCGGAAATGGAGGCAGTGGCATCAGCAGCGATGGCGTTTGCTGTCCTGGAAGTGGGGTACACGGTGGTGGCGGATGTGACATCATCTGTGGGTTCTCCGACAGTGGCCTCACGGCCAATGGCAGTGGGCACATTGTGGGGAAGGTCCTGGGTACGGCTGGGGATTTGGGAGGTGGAGGAAGCCCTTTTTGGGTGGTAGGCACCAGTAAATTTACTGTATTTACGGTTTTTAGTGTCCAAAAAAGCTGAGTAGTGAGTTCAGGTTGTGGAACCTACGAAGAATCAAAAAACAGGAGAGGTCCTTTGCAGGTCTGGGAGAGGGAGTCTCTGAGCTGGGGTAGGCTTGATTGTAGTGCCTGAGATGCCAGCGCATTGCTGCGAGTGTGTGTTTCAGGAGTTGCAGGGAGAAATGCTTCTGAAGGATCTCAATGCTATGAATGTAGACATTGTCAGGGTTGGGGCCAAATTGAGAAGGCCTGAATGTGGACTGTAGTCCATTGGCAATGATCTGGTTCCGTAGGCAGGTACTAAGAAAGGTGATGTGGCTGTAGTACCTGGTTTGCTGCAGGACATGGTTGAGCAGTTTCAAGGCCGAAGAGATTACGAGAGAGTTGCAGTGGGAGAGAGATCCCCTGAGGTTTGTCTGGAGGGAGGAGGGTAACTTCTTCAGGGTAGGCATCCTTAGAAGAGGCTTCGCAGTGGGGTTAAAATTGTATCAGAGGCATCCTTAAATCCTTATCCATTGGACTTGGCTTTACGGTGTGGACATTACATCTAAGAATTAAAGCAGATAAATGATCAGAGATTGTACTCTTTTAGTCCTGGCTTCTTATAAATTTGTTCATGGCTGTGAATGAGAATCTATTGCCTGGTTAAGATTCAAAAACATTTTTGTGGGTCAAGATGCATACGTAGACCAGACTGGGTAATGATGACAAATTTCCAGATGGGTTTTTACAACAATGCTTACATGGTCACCATTTAATTCAAGAATAATTTTTTAAAAAAATCTCAGATTTCAAGATCTGCTATGGTTGGATTTGAACCCACGTTCACAGAACATTAAATCTCGGGTTCTGGATTATATGTCCAATTATATTACCCTCCCCTTAAGTTTCAGACAGTTCTCAGTCATTCACCATGCATTCCTTTGTGTCTGACTCTGGGAAGAGTGGGTAAGTATAAAGGTCAGATTGTGAGCCTTCATATTATTTCTTTAAAACCTATGTGCATGAATCAGAAGAATTCCTGACAAGACCAGTGCAATTTTCCAATAAAGGTCTCAACTTTGAACACACATTGCAGAATATGAGTAAAACTTGATAGAATGACTGCAAACAGAGAGGGGGGGGGTTGCAATCACAGTCAACATACTCCTATACATTGGAGACACACATTAACCATGGAAACAGTTAGTTGTGTTGATTCGTCACCTCTTACAGTCAGCTTGTCCTGTCTTGCTGTTTGTTCAGAAGCACCAGTTGTATCAACCTTTGTGATATCACCATAGACGGAGGTATCTAGCACATTGGAGACGAAATGGCTGAGTTATGGAAACATGACAAATGCCAATCAAATGCAGCAGTAGTGCCCATACTCTATCTTTAGATCCTGTGTGAGGTGAAGGGTGAAGCAGCTTCTGGGGGGACATTTGACCCAGGAGTGCTTCCCACTGTAAGATAACTGATTCTGGTCAAGCAGAGGAAGGCATCCCTGATCCCACGACAGACACAGAGGTGTTACAGCATAGAAGGAGGCCATTTGGTCCATTGAGCCTGCACTGATTCTATTACATACTGTCAATCTCCCTCCCCTTCCCTGTATCCCTGCATACCATTACTATCTGAATGATCATCCAATGATCTCTTGAATGCCTCAAATGAGCCTGCCTCTACCACACTTCCAGGTGGTGCATTTCATTCCCTAACTATACACTGTGTGACAAGGTTTTGTCCCACATCACACTCACATCGTTTGCACATCACTATAAATCTATGCCCTCTTGTTCCTTCTACGCACAGGAACAGCTTCTCCTTATCTTCTCTGTCCTACCTGCTCTATATATGATGCTGCGTATATTGCCTTTCCTTAAAAATTTAAAGAAAAACAATTAGTAGGGCTATGAGAGAAGAGCCTGGGAGTGGCATTATTTATTAAATAATAAATTAAAATATGAATCATAGAATCATTGAATCCCTACAGTGTGGAAACAGGCCCTTCAGCCCAACAAGTCCACACTGACCCTCAGAGCACCAACCTGAACCCATCCCCTTGTAACCCACCTAATCTACACATCCCTGAACACCACAGGCAATTTAGCATGGCCAATCCACCCTACTCTGCACATCTCTGGACTGTGGGAGGAAACTGGAGCACCTGGAGCAAACCCACGCAGACAGAGGGAGAATGTGCAAACTCCACACAGACAGTCTCCCGAGGAAGGGCTTTTAGTCAGTACAAGTGAACTCCAGAATGTAACAAATACTGAGTGAAAAATCAAGGTTGCCCTGATTTTTGGGCACAGGGATTGCAATTTATGACAAGACTCCTCCAAATTGCACTGGATGCAGCTGGGGAAGTTTTGGCAGCATTGGTTACTGACCAGATGTCACAGTCAGCCTGCTCCTCTTCAAGGCAGGGGGGGGTGGGAGCAGTGGGGGATTGCCAGAGGGGATTCCATGCTGTAGAATGTTGGGTTCCTGTCTCTGCCTTCCCTATTGGTGACCCCTCTTTACCTCAAAGATCCTTACTCCCCTGGATTATCGCTGGGAGATTATCTCCATTTATTGCTGGTTGTCTTGATATGGAATGAGGAATGGGGGTGGGGGGGGGTGGTGGTCAATCTGCACTTCAACATTATCCGTAATTGGACTTTTAGTCATGAAAATTAACCACCCACCTACATCCCTGTCTATTTCCAGCTCTGTTATTGTAAAGATACCCCAGTCCATGTTGTCGTGGGAAGTGGCAATGGACTAAGCCAACATGGCTACCAGACCCTGCAGCACCCATCTCAGCTCCTGTGGCCTGTAAATGCACCACCATGGGATGCACAGACTGTCAGATAAATGCAGACAGGCCAACTGCCAATATAATGCCTTGGGATCTAAATCACTGGGCAATCTTGGCAGTTACCTACAGTGGCAAAAGTTTGGGGGTAAGCGAGGGTGGTATAAACTGAATTAACCAACAAACCAGTGGGTCTCAGCAGTGGGAACAGATTTACTGATATGCATCCAGATACACTGACATAAATGTAGCTTTCCACACAGACTGTAATCTTTCCCAAAATGTCATATATTCCTTGGTCCGTTTGTGCAACAGTTCCACAAACTCGTACATTTATTCCAAAAACTGTGAATCACTATATCTTATCAAAGAGCATTGTCTAATCACTGTCATGATTGGTGATTGTGTAAATTGTACATAACATCATTAACATCTGTGGCAGTAACACCCAGTACTACACATTTGAGCAATACACACTTGCTCGTACATTTCTTCTCCTACAGATCCTGTGAACAGTGTAGAGCAATGAGACTGTATAACCAGTAAGACAATACTCTCCTTTTCTACACCAAATAAAATTGTAATGATAAATGCAGAAGCGTAGGACAGCATAAAGCTGAAAACGTAGCAAGTGCCTAACACACTTGCACTGGCTGGGTAAAGAAAGCAGGGAAATGAGCTAACGTTTTGAGTAGCCTCTGTTTCCTCATGCCTCATGTCCGCAACCCAAATGTTTTTAATTCTGTATTGCAGAATATAGGGGCATTTGAAGTAGCTTTGTTTCTTGCTAGCATTCCCTGCCCCTCTGTCGAAGAGGAAGGAGCCGCTGTGTTACTTTAAGTGCAGAGAAACACCATCAGGAGTGACACCTCAGCAGGAGAAAGCATCTGCTGGGTCACTGATTTCAGCCAGTGGTTGATTTTAAAGTAAGTCCTTTTGCTAGTTTCATGGCTATAGATAGAAACATCACTTCACGACCTTACTCCGCCCATGGATCTCACTGCAGGGGCGGCTTCTCGATTGCCCCTTTTATCCTCTCCCACATACCTCTTGTGCTGAAGCCTTTACTTCCTATAAAAATTCAGTTCCTACTATCTCTGATACAAAATTCATTTGCTGCCGTCTTTAAGAAAAAAAACACTTTAAAGTCAACTTTCAAATTAATGCATAGAAAATGTCATTAAAAATCAAAGTACAGGAACAAGGGATTTGATGTGTCTGCTCTATCCTGCCACTTAAGTCCCTCAAAAGTTACCCTGTACCCCTATTGTTCTAACCCGATCAGAATATGATACTTGTTACACCTTTGACCCTTATTTGAAATGCTAAGGTCTAATGGGGTTTCTGATGGAATACTTACTTGCTGCTGTGCACATTGTTGCTATTACTTGTCACTTGTCAATCATTCTCCAGGCAAGAAATAAAGTGAATCAGAGATAGTAGGAACTGCAGATGCTGGAGAATCCGAGACAACAAGGTGCAAGGCTGGATGAACACAGCAGGCCAAGCAGCATCATAGGAGCAGAGAGGCTGACGTTTCGGGCCTAGACCCTTC